ATTAAGTTTATTGAGATAATTTATGTAATTTTGGAAGTTGATTTGATCTGGATAATTATTTATGATATCATCTAATTCTATTTTATTTGACAGAATATAATAACGATTAATCATTAAATTAAGTGTGCGATTTTGAAAGCTTTATAGTTACCTCCACCAAATCCAATAACACTATAGTTAAGTCCAGGAAGATAGTCCCAAGAAAGGTATAACCGACTGCTATAATCATCAGAAACCATATTTTCAGCAGGAGTAAATTTATAACTTCTGTTGTTAAACGATTCAAGACTGGCAGAACAATCATCTAAGAAATGGTTTTATTAATGATTTGCCAAATTCAACAGTTAAATTTTTAAAAAACTATTAGAGGTATACATACCAACACTATCATTCACCCCCCTATTAATCTTAAAAAAACAATCAATTGTTACATTTGATGTCAGTGTGATATTAAATGCTTTTAAAATATTAAGAAAATAAATAATTATGATTTTGTTAAAAAAACAATTTACATTTCAATTAGATGATAATTTAACATACAGTACTTGGAAAAGGTTGTGAGTCTAACTTAGTAGTAGAATATTGAATCAAAGGCTCATCCTTTATGACCAAATCGATTGAAATATATATATATACAATTAATCCACTTAAAAGGATTATTGAAACAACAACTTTAGTCCACCATAATAATATCGGTTCAGTATTTCTGTGTCTTGGTAGTGTAAAATTGGAGATTTTTTTAAGATTATTTATTATTCTTTTACTAATAAACATTTTCAAATAATATATAGTAATAATTTCACAATATAAGCAGAAAAGGTGGATGAAAATTTATAAAGTAACAAGGAAAAGGGAGGCCTTTATATTCTTTGCATTTTGAACAATTTCATACCCTGTAAAGAATTTACTTTGTCATTAAACTTGATGTGTTTTCCGTTTATATTAATATACATTTCCGTGGTTTTTTTCCATAATTATAATAATAATAATATTACGTATAAAAAATGATGTTCCACTGATATGCATTTAATAAAATGGATAAAGCAAAAATAATTCTTTCTGATTTCGTTTAATCATTAAAGGAAAACAGTGTAAATACCTTTTAATTTAATAATTATCTAAATATACATAAATAAAAAATATTAATTCATAATAATATAAAAATAGATACAAAAATAAATATTGAAAAAGAACATATTACCATTAATGTCTTCAATATACTTGGATTTATAAAACTGTTTTTTTTTGTGAATCTCTCTAAAACTAATTAACCAACACTAGGCGAGACCTACAAACTTGGAAAGCAAGTTTTGTAAAATATACTTATGAATGTTTTATCTATATAGTTAATATTAAAAAACGTGTTTGTATTTTTATTCCTTGTGTCGCTATGTATTGTACCACCATCCATCAATAAGTTTATTAAATAAATTTATAAAAGATTAATTCGTAATCCGTGAAACAACTGCAAAAATTTGCCGATCATTAATATGTTTTTGTGGCGATAATAAACATTAT